AAGCGCATCTCGAAGCGCTGCACGAAGTCGCGGCAGGAGGTGCGGAACGTCGCCGCGGAGCACCGGGCGCTCGCGCGGCTCTCCGGGGGCCCCCGGTGCCTCGAGCTCCAGGGCGTGCTGGCGACGGAGCGCTACGTCTACTTCGCCGTCGAGCACTTCGGCGAGGAGCTCTACGGCTTCATGAAGCGCTCCGGCGGCGAGCGCGTGCCGCGGGGCCTCGGCGACGGCGTCGTCCACGGCGTCGCCGCGGGGCTCGCCTTCATGCACGCGCTGGACCTCGCCCACCGCGACGTCAAGCCGGAGAACGTGCTCGTCGACGTGCGCGGCGAGGCCTTCCGGGACGTGCGCGTCAAGGTCTGCGATTTAGGGCTCTCGGCGCCGCTCCGGCGGCGGAAGGACTTGGGGCTCTCGGCGCCGCTCCGGCGGCGGAAGGACGCCGGGGAGGCCGCCGCGTCGCCGGACTGCGTCACGCGCGCGCTCGAGTGCGAGCAGCCGCCGTCGCCCTACGAGCCCATGTTCCAGTGCTGCGGGTCCATGGGCTTCTTCGCGCCGGACATGCTCGACCCGGCGGGCTACGACGGCGCGCGCGCGGACGTCTGGTCGCTGGGGTGCCTGGGCCTCGAGGTCGCCGCGGGCTCCGGCGCCTTCGCGCGCTTCTGGTTCCCCCTCTACAAGGCCTTCTTCGCGCGCGGCGCCGACGACGCGTCGCGGCCCGCGCCGGCGGCCGAGCACGCGGCGTTCGTCGCCGTCTTCGCGCGGCCCCGCGCGGCCGTCCGCGCGGCCGTCGCCGGGGAACCGTGGGAGGCGCGCGACGACGGCGAGGCGACGATCCTGCGCCTGTTGGGCGGCGCGAGCGCGACGGTCGCGCTCCTCGCGGCCTGCGTCGACCCGGACCCGCGGAAGCGGCCCGCGGCGGCCGACTGCCTCCGGCCCGGCGACGCGGCGCGCGCGGAAGCGCGCGGCCTCGCGCCCCCGCGGCCCTGGGCGGCCCCGGAGCCGGAGCTCGAGGTCCCCGAGCCCGAGCGCGCGCGCGACGACGCGCACCCGGAGCACCACGCCCCGGGCCGCGACAGCATCGTCAGCCGCTTCAAGCGCATCATGTCCCGGACCGCCAAGGCCGCGGAGTAGATGCTCCCGCGCCGCGCCGCCGCCGCCGCCGTGGATCCCGACGATCCGCGAGCCGCGGCGCCGACTCCGGAATTCACCCCGCACTTCGCCCGCCTCGCCTTCGATGTTCCCGATCCGCCCTGTTCGCCGCGCCGCCCCGATGTGCCCTCCCGGGCGCGTTGGCCATGCGCTGAGTTCGCTAATACAGGGTTGATCTTCAATTGGCAGCAGGTTGATCTGGGCCGTCTCGCGGGCCTCTGTTCCAGCCTTTCCCGGTGGCCAACGACCACGAGGCGCCCATGCCCGCGCACTCTAGAGCCCCGCAGCCCATATAGTACGCCCTTAATGCGCTAGATAGTCGGCGGATGGTCTGGGTTCAACATCGAAGTTGAAGTACAACAAAACCAGGTTGCAGTTCAAACATGAGCAAAAGCCGGTCTGCGTGGCTAGATCTGCGTACCACTAGTCGAGGCTGCGTCGTGACGGCGTCGGAGAGCGAAACATTGCTCGGAATTGACGCGATTTGCGCAAAAACCGATCACCCATGCCCTCTCGACGACGGCGGTCACGAGCGGTGAGCGCGTACGTGCTTTGCGTCGAGTAGATCGTCGAGTTAGTGGCGATCCATTAAACCCGAGCATGATTGTGAACCCAAAGGCGCTGCCGAATGCTTAAAAGAGCTCACTTTGGCCATGCTCGCGCGGACGAACCGTGGGCCTCGTGCGGGACTCGTTCGACGTCTCGGGCTGCCTCGAGCAGGTCCGTGCGGCGGGGCGCGGTCGCCGTCCGGCGCGCGGGCGGTCAAGCCGTCCTCACCGGTCCAGGGCCCGAGCGCCTACACAATTTGAGCGGCGGCGAGCACGATCTTACACCGGAACGCTGGCAGCCCCTCAGGTCGCCGATCTCAGCCGGATGCTGCCGACCGCCGATTTCGTCGCTGGAGCGACCCGATCTCGCCACGAACGTCGAGTTAGTGGCGATCCATTAAACCCGAGCATGATTATGATGCTAGAAAGGTGTCCTGAAGAGGGCGGCCGCATCGACTGGGCTGCTGGCGCGCACGGCCGATCACTGCAACCTGCTGCCAATTGAAGATCAACCCTGTATCCTGCAGGAAGCTAGTTTACTTCCGCGTTGGGCGGACGATGTAGGTAACAGTCCGCCCCGCTACGACCATTATGGCGCTGGACCTGCCCGCGGCGAACCGGGTCTACAAGTTCCGCTGCGAGGATCCGAACGGCGAGTACGCCGCCGTCCGCGCGGGCCTCACCGGCGGCCGCGGCTGGACGCGACTCACGAAGG